TTTTTTTTTTTTTCTGAATGGTGGTAAAAGGAAAAAAAAAAATAACTGTTTGCAATCGAGCAAGTTGTAGTAGAGGGGGAAAAGCTTAGGCGAAAAAGTTATGCCCCTTCAATCAGTTTTATCATCTGAAATTGAAATTCTTATCAAATTTCCTTGCTCTGTAGGAAATAAAGATAGCGAACCTTTAGAGTTTTGGAGAAATAAAGTGTTGGATTTCCCACTTCTTTACTTTAGTATATATACAGCATTAAAAAGGAATTTTTTTTTAAATTCCTTTTAAGCTCTTTAAATAATTCTTCCAATGCAGAAAAAATTGCTTCCTTAGCATCTTAACATATGGAGCACACTAATCAGTTGATAATTATGTTGAGAAGTTTTATCCGAAAGTATTATAATATAGGGTGGTTATAATTAAACTGACCCTATTCAAATCCCTCTAGAATCCGTTTTACCCAACGGATTTTGATGAAACTTGGTATAGATAAGTGTAAGAACTACGGGGAAAAGATTTCTAAAATAAAAATAGTTCAAATATTGACCCCCAGGGGAAATTATGGCGACAAAGAAGGACAAGAAGGACAAAAAAACTGTCAGAAGCATTAAAATTTATTCCCTAATATGCTCAACGTGTGCTCCATTGACATCAATTACATGTTGAAAGCGTATTATAGTGTGTTCAATGGTAGAGCGTAGTAACTCTCAAGGAATTTCAGCACCATTGCTTGTGATGCTGGATTTTAACTCAGGTAAAGTCCTAATTCCTCCACCATAAACACGATCTTTTAGGAATCCCCACAACTAAAAATTCCAGGAATTTAAGTCGAGTGAACTAGAAGGTCCACTGAAAAACTCTGGATATTGCAGGATTCTCACCAAACTTAGCACAAAGCAGTTCTTTGACTTGGCACCCAATGTGAGGAGTTGCTCCATCTTGCATGAAGACAGTAGTCTGCAAACATGACCGTTCCTATAAAGCAGGAATGACCTGGTGTCAAAGAAGTTCACTGTGATGTACACACGTGACAGAGCAGGCTTTATTACCGTGAGGTTTGAGAGTTTCAAAGAAAAACGGTCCGATGATAAAATCAGCAGTAATTCCACACCATGCAATCACGTAATCAGAATGTAGTGGTTGTTGGTGTAGGATATTAGGAAGTGAAGTACCCCATATGCGACAATTTTGATTGTTCACGGCTCCATCTGAAGAAAAGTGCGCCTCATCTGACCACATAATTTTCCAGACCATGGAAATAAGACCATGCAGCATCAGCTGCCATTGCCGCCAAAAATTCATAGCGTGTTAGGTGACCTTCAGGTTGCAGCATTTGCAACACGTGAAACTTATATGGATACCATTTTAAAATGGATCGCAGAGTTTTTGTAGTGTGGGCTACCGAATCGCCAATTCACGTGACACTGATGGAGCACTTGCTGAAGAATAGCTGGAAGTGGAGCTCTTTCAACCACAGCAGTAGCAACTTCGATAGTTTCATTCGCAACTCGTTTCTGCCCACTTCCTGGCAGCACACCCAAGTCTCCAGTCTCTTCAAATTTCATAACCATTTTCTTCAAAACATTCTTCGACATGGGGCCTTTTTGCAATCCCTTTAAACGACGATATTCCCACAGTGCATTGTGATAAAGCAATTTTACTAGTAAAGCTCGGTTTTTCTTCTGTAAGGACATGATTAATGAAGACAAAGGCAAGTAGAATGGTTTTCTGGTTCTGACTGAAATTTTCTTTCTAGGTTTGACTAATTTTTAAGATTTCCCCCTGGTAAACAAAATCTGAACTATTTTTATTGCAGAAAACTTTTGCCCATGGTCCATATACCGTATATAAAAATGTTCATCAAAATCCGTTTGGCAGAACGTGTTCTAAAGGGGTCTAAATAGGTTCACTTTAATTATAACCTCCTGTACATTCCTGCAGTTCTTTCAGACATAACTACCCGTATTTGTCCTGGAAACACCCACAAAGCAATTCACATTCTATTTGAAGCATCACCACAATTTCTGCCTGTAAAATAATACTAAGAAATAATAATGTCATTAATCATGCCAAAATTTAATTACGAGATTTACTTCCAATGTGAAAAAGTTAAAACCTTGTAATTTTCCTTTAACTTAATTTAAAGAAATCTGGCAAACTATCATATATTTATTTATCAAAATATTTAGCGTCGAAAAATATTTTTGCTAAAGATCTCTAAGTAATGGGTTGCGATTGCAAATGAAGGGAATCGCAAACAGTGCAAGAAACACGGGTTACCACATTTAGCATTTTATCGCCCAGTTATCGCCCCAAACAAATCGCCAAATCTCATTTGCGATTTGGCCAGAAAACTAATTTTAAAAATTCTTTTTAATAACTTCCTAACTTTAAACATAATTTAAATAAATAAAAACTAGAAATTTAATATTACTTCAAATTTAAACATTATTTCGTCTGTTTTTTCAAATTCAAACTTTATTTCAAAATTAATTAAATTTAATCAAATTCAAAATTAATAATAATAGTTTTTGACTTAATCCACTTTTATTTAAAACTACAACAACAAAAATTTCTCATTGAAAATTTTAAAGCAATTTTTAAAAATAAGTCATAACTTGTAATATTAATCTCTATTGTGTAATAATATTTACCTTATCTTAGACCATTAATTTTATATGTATTTTGTAATTTTTACTATAGCAAACTATCTGTAAAACATATATTCTGTACTCTTAAAATTTCCTTACAAACAATGCATATGCTACTTTATTATTAAAACAATTATTTCAAACTAAACAAACATGATTATTAATTCTCAAAACACTTAAAGTGTCAAAATATATACATTTCATATAATGTATGTGTTTTCTGTTACACATAAAATTGAGATTTAATGATCCTAGCAAAATATTATCATTTTCATTTAATATGCAAACCTAGATGTTTATAACATTATCATAATTTATAACATTATCATTATTTTTTGTATTTTAGTTAACTACTCTTAATATTAAAAGTTAATATTACTTAACCATTCCTCGTTGTTTTAGTGGTGATCTACGTACAGCAAATATCGCGATTTCTTTAGTATTATTATCGGGAAAATAATCTAGAAAACCAGAAAAAGAAGCTGCCCCGGGAAATAATTAGTTTACTTAATCATTGAATAATCAATGCTTAGGTTTGCATTATCCTTCTGCTGAAAACACCCAGAATCCGCGGCCAGCTGTGTTTACGATCAATATTGTCTGGCGTGAATTGCCTTTACAGAGGTACACCATCAAATATTCTTATTATAGAAGCATACCTAACAAAAATGGATGTACTAGTCTTTTCCCTTCCCGCAAAACACAGAAAGTAATCTAGGGCTTTGAAAGAACTATTATGAATCATGATTGATCTCATTACTTTATGGAATAGCTACAAAGTAAAACTTTTTTTCTCTTGAAAAGTGAACAGCAATGATTACAGCCTTATCTCGTTTTCAAAAAGTTAACATTGATAATCCAATTAATCATATCCTTTATTTAAAAGAGCACTCAGTTAAATTACACATCTTCTAATTTTGTTACTTATTAGAGATCGAAAGTTAAAGCAGAATTGAACTTTATTGTGATTTGAAAGTGGTCGTCTTCTACAAAGATTGGACTATTTCAATTTGATACAAATTATAAAAGTGCTTCTCAATTATCGTTGCAGAATGTTTAATTACCCTTATAAAGCTTGTTTGTCCTTCAAAGAGGAATATTTTGCATTTAATTACAAGAATCTTTTGCTTTTAATTGTTATAGAATTCATGAATTGTCACGTAGTAGCATAGAAATAATTTTTATGTATTTTTAACGATTACATATGACGACTGTTTTCAAAAATGCAATTGCCAAAATTCAAACAACAACAAATAGCTATGAAACAATAGTTACAATACAAACAATAGTTAGAAATGTCAACAAATAGTTATGAAAATTCAATTATGATAGATTTCTGAAAATTCCTTCGTAAAACTTTCCTTGTCGTCGGAATTTTTTAGTTAAAATAAAACACTACAGCATTCTCAAAGAGCAGTTTAGCCCAGCTGTTCGGCGTGACAAATAATTCTAGACGCTCTACATCCAATCTTCCTTTTTGCACCATAAACACTTAAACTGTAACCGAGCACTTTAGAACTGTAACCGAGCACTTTAGAAACTGTATCCGAGCACTTTAGAAACTGTAACAGTACTTCTTCGCTAAGAATTTTTAAGCCCATTTTCTTATATGAATTGTCTGCTAAAAATACTACGTCTGCTATATCTTTTTCTAAGTATGAATAGTTATTTGTTAAATAAGTGAAGAAAAGTATTATAGAAATAAAAATCAATTGATAAAAAAACATTAAAATTACTAGATATCTAAAGATCTAATTTGATTGACCTACAAATCTGACCTTTAAATTCCTTCGTTGAATAAAAAAAGTGCGAAAAATTAAATAAGTAATTTTCTAATTTAAACGAATTGATTAGTAAGATAATATTTGGCACCCCTCAAGTAGGTTAAATTAGATGATTTCTAGATAAAATACTTATAACTTTAAAATGAAAAATGAAATCGTTTCTTATCAAGTCTCAGAAATGATAGCAAAAAATATGAAAGGTCATACTTTAGGAGAATCACTTCTTCAAAATTACTTCTTCATGTCAAAAATGGCCATGGAAATGCTAGGTAATTTTTAGAAATATTCTTCTTTCCAAAGATACAATTAAAAGGCATATTACAGAAATGTCTTCATATATTGAGAAAATATATGCAGTAATAAAATTCAACATTCAAATTTAGCATTGCAAACTAATGAGTAGAAAGATATTACCAACAAACAAATCTTAACATTCGTATGTTTTATTAATGCAGCTCTAACAGTGAATCAGTTTCAATTTTGTAAAGAATTAAATGTATTTACAAAACATTTTTACTTAATTTTATATTATAATTTTGAAATGATGATGCTTGATGCTCCAATGATGCTTGACTTCAGATCACCGAAGTCAAGCATCATTGGGCGCGGTCAGTACTTGAGTGGGTGGCCACCTGGGAACACCGCGTGCCGTTGGCATTCACAAATTTGGGACCTGAATGGTCGAGTGTCTAGCGCTCTGGCGCTCGGTGCCACAGGTTTCGGGTTCGAATCCCGGCGGTGCCATGGATGTTTGTAGTGGTTCGGAATCCACTTTAAGCCGTAGGTCCCGGTCTCCTATGACTGTAAGAGCGTCACGGAACCAAAGTCAGACTTCTACCTACGGGTGCTCCATCACAACAGAAGCTGCTTCCTTCCCCTTCAATCATGAGTACGCATGGGCTCGTGGGCTTGGCCAGCCAAGTGGGATAAGAAACAACAACAACAACACGTTTTGAATAACTACAATAATAAGTGGCAGTTAACGTGAAAGTCGTGTGTAGGCATTTGTACAGAAGGAGCCCCTCTCATGTTAAGCAGTGTTAAGGACCTTATATTTTTTGTAAAAAAAATAAAGTGTATATGTAACTGAAACTCATTGCGTTCTTCATATGGAGGAATGCCTTAATGGAAAAGGTATTGGAAGAAAAATTTATAGAAGTTTTACATGTAGTTCAGCTGATAAATTTTATTAAAACAAGACATGTCAAATCACTTTTATATGAAAAGTTTTGTATCTATATTCATGCACCTCACAGACGGCTGCTTTTACTGAGATGAAGGAGAGAGAAAAGCATTTCCCGTTTACAAGAGCTTAGACAACAGCTTCCGCTCTTCTTGGAAAAATGCAACAATTATATTTTTGTAACCTGCTCGATGCGAATTTTGTATCACCAGATTGTAGTATTCGGTTAATAGAATTCAGAATCTCAATATTTTGAATGCTACCATGCATGAGAAAGAAAAAAATATTCTCATATCCACCGAAGAAATAAAAGAGTTTCAGAAAAACTACAGATTTGGAAAAGAAAAGTTGTTGGATAAAATTGAAGTGATGCAGTTTATCTAGTGATTTTAAAAAAATAAATTAATACATGAGCCTATTAGAAAAAGGAAAATATTTTTATTAGTTCACAAGATTTTTGAATCGATATTCACCTGTCGTGCAACATTAGTTCAAAAGATTTCCCAAATACTAGAATGTTGGAAAATCAAAGTTTCTTGGAGCACACTACCAGAAAACACTGTAAAGATATTCCAGAAGAGAAACAATCAAGTCATTGAATTAAAGAAAATTACTATACTAAGGAAGATTCTCCCGACTGTCATTGAATGAGGGAAATTTTTTTTTGTTCTAATGCAGCTGGCAAACACTTAGACAGCTTGGTCTTGGATGCCTTAAGGCAAGAGCTGCACAGATGTTACTCACTCTGCATTACCCAAGGGGCGCGTGTATTTTGAAGATAAGCCACGGACGTGGAGTAACAATGCCCCCGCAACGCTCCTATTAGGACCGGGACCTACAGTTTAAAGGGATTCCGAACCACTACAAACATCCATAGCACCGCCGGTACTCGAAACCGAAACCTGTGGTACCGAGCGCCAGAGCGCTAGCCACTCGGCCATTCAATCCCCTCAGGGAAAAATATATATGCGCTTTTTTTGTGATATCCTGTGCTGCTTAGCAATTTTTCTGATTGCATAATTTTAAAAATTGAATTTCAAAATTCAAGGACACGCAAACTTGTTCAAGCTAGATTCAGAGTAACTCCTCTAAATAAAACAACTATTATGATATTGGAATTACTAGGCTCTTATACAGAAGCAAAACTAGCTGACACTGTTACGAAAGACTTGAAATGTGTAGAGGACTATGTATTTTATTAGTTATTTTCTATGAATATTTTACATTGGAGGAAGAAAGAAGGTCCATAGATCAAATAACTCCATAGGTAACACATAGTAACATAGGTTTGTTGAAAGTAGGAATAATTTCTAACTGGCCTTCCCTCACGAGGTTGCAATGTTGAATATCTAGTAAAATATTGATGTTGGAAAGGACCTAGTTGGCTCTATCAATTTTATGAAAAATATCCTATTTTTGAGATCATTCCTACTTAAGAAGTTGTTAATTCCGAAAAAAGGTACGTGTACGTCTAAGGTTCTATGTACGTCTAACTCCGAAATTTAAGATTTTGAAATTTTTTCTAAAGATTTCATCTTAGAAAAAGGTCATAAGAATTCTTAGGGGGGTATTTTATTTTATCAGAACCAAAAAGGAAAAATGCAGGAGTTTTTTTGTAACTGAAGTGTTTATGAATTGTGAAAAGTTGAGAAAATAGTTTTAAGCAAAGATAAAAGAGAAAGCCTTGAGAAAAACAAAAATTTTTCGATACAAATCCATTTAAATTCACATCTTAGAGTTACGACAAAAATCATACAAAGAAAAGGTCGAGAAAGTTTCAGAAGCCCAATTTTGTTATCATCAAATCATATTGTTGGTACAAAAAGGATTTCATCAGGTTGAGCTTCTCCGTACATGCGTATTGAATTTAACTTTCAAAATTATTGTTAGTCAAATGACTTTGCATCATCACTAGATAAAATCAACGCATTAATTCTAGCATCACCTTGATCTACTTTGCCCATAAAAGTAAAACCGAAGATCGTTGGAGAAACGAATAAATTTTTAACCAGCTTCATAACTTCCCCTCTCTATATGTTCCAGAAATATTCAAATCCAAGAAGTATCTTTATTTTTTCGTTGTTAGGTCTAGAATCTTCCGGCATCCAACCACGTTGATCCATATATTTTCGTATCTTTTAAAATTTGGGGAGACCTTGAAGAGAGATATGTAAGATATGTAGCGAGTACTTGGATCTCTAATAAGGATTGGGGATGTTGTTTCTTTCTTATTCGCAGCTGGTAAACATCGAATTCCTTTTCATTCCCCTCGTTCCTCTCAAAATCATAAATCATTAGGCGTTCTTTCCGTATTACATATATTTTCAATTCTCTGTCTAATTGTATAGTAACGAATACATAATCCTTTCGCTTCCTGAATCAATTGACATTCTTACTAATTTTGTTTTATTTCCAGATTGAGTAATTATGAAATTGAGCATCGACTATCAGAAATCAATTGACATTCTTACTAGTTTTGTTTTATTTCCAGATTGAGCAATTACTGAAATTTTTTTGCAAATGTACATTATGGGCAGGATCCGGAATATTACATTGTGATACAACAATAGCATTATTTTCGGACTCTTCAGTTTTAACTTTCTTTTCTTCTGTAGACTTGGAGAAACTAAAAGTTTGTTATGGTTTTAATTTTAGTTTTCACAGGGTTGCATTTTGATCCACAATCAGTTAACAGAAGGGATTTTATAAAACATTTATAACATCTGCCCTCTTTCTTTAATTTTCGTCTATTTTGATCATCAGCATTTTTGTAACATTCGACCGACACACGTTCAATACATTTACAAAATACACATAATGTATTCACCGATTTGTTAAAAGAAGTAAAAGGTTTTAAATGCATATAATGACTTTATTTCTGACAGACAATTGGTTACGATTAAACATTCCTGTTGTTTTAGAACTTCTCGAATTATTTAACCGTTAAAATGATTTAGTGACATTCAATTTCATTTTTAAGAAATTCAATTAATTCTGTTACATCAAAATTTTCTTTCGAAGTTCACTTTTTATTAAATTCAAGTAATTTTAGATTAATTGTATTCAATAGATGTTGTAGCATTTTTCCCATTGGAAGAGTTGTGACATTTCTTTCCCAAGAGTAATGTATATTATTCGACAAGTAAATAATAACAACTTATTACTCAAATTTGTTAAAAGATAAGCAGTGTTGGGGGTAGTTATATTACGTGCAATTAGTGTTTTGTACTAATGAGAACAACCTGATTTCCCCAAAATATAATAGCAGATATGAGTGACAGGTTGGAGTTTCATAGATACTGTTATGGATTATGAGACCTTATGAAATTAGCGTTTGTCTGTGTGACCTTCCCATGTTGAAACAATTACAGGACTATGGACTACACGATGAGTTGTTGCATCATGATTGGTGATAAACCATGGGCTGAGAAAATGTTTACTCCAATCAGAAATGAGGGTAGCTGAACCCCTCTCTTGACGGATTTTCTTAAAAGGGGTTTTTGGAGAAGAAAAAGAGTTTTGCGAGGAGTCAATAAGAAATGTTTTTTTTCTGTTAGTGGCTGAAGAACCATGTTTCAAAAGTGAGTACCTTGTAGTTCTTCTTTGAAGCCTGGTGAAATAGATTCAAAGTAGACTCGAGAACTTTCAAAATCTTTATCTTTTCTTTAATTTTCATTTTTTATGTAAATAGAGTAATATAGATAAAATATGTAAATAGGTCTAATGTTTGTAAATAAAAATATAGTGTCCCTCTTCTTGAAGCCGAGCCACTTTACAGATGTTCAATGTCCGTAACTACCACTTGTTTTATTAAATGAATTTAAATTTCTGACCCAATATCTGAAATCCTTGTGAAATTCTATTTGATCATACAGTTTATGTAATTCCTAAAGATTATTTGAATATCTAATGTGCACTAAATTTAGCAATTTATTCATATGGCTATTTATTAATAAATCTTTACGACCCTATCTATCTTTCAAAAATTTAAAAAAGAATTTTCTTCTGTAAGTCTGAAGCCAGACGCACGGTTATGTGCTTGCCCTTCAAGTAAAAATTTTAAATAAATGAATTTTTCAATTTTATCTAAGCAACTATTTTTATCAATCAAGTTTTCCAAAAAATTATGAAGCTCTAACCATATTCAGGAATCACCATTGACATTTTCAATTTCAGCAATTTTACATTTTGTGTTCTAATGTAAAAGAAAAGGAAGAAATGTAAAAAAAAATAGTATATCATTATGTAAAAAATATATCAAAATTTAAAAAAAAAAGTCGAGCTACTTTTTTTTACATTCTGCTGATTGCTTACTATTGAGTTTTATAATTTTTCTGGACAAATCGAATTTGCAAGAAATCATTTTTCCATTATATTCTGCAGCAGCGAATATTTCATCTTCTATATCATCAACATTAATCAATTTTCTGACTTCATTATTTAATTCGTTTAGAATGATAGATTTTTTTT